TGTACGTCACTCGATATGTCGACAACGAGAATTCCGATAATGGCTAAGGCAACAAGGGGAGTGCCTTGAAACTGAGGAGATACGACAAAAAGGTTTTTTTAGCGGTAAACGCGCAAACTTGTGTCTTCTGGGGACTGAACTGGACTAGATTTAGTCGCCCCAGTTTGAGACTTTGTTTAACAAAGTCTCGACTTCAGACATAAGTTTGTTCCGGTAATCGGCGACGTTTTCCTGAGAAATATTGGCACGGCTGGTGTATAAAGCATCACCAGTGCTGTCGTCTGCATAGCAATGAATGTTACCGATTTGCAACATATTATTGATATGCAGAAGAAACAGCGTTGGTGATAGCACGCAGCCTTGTGGAACTCCAGCGTTAATGGGCTTGTAATCGGAGTATGCACCATCTACTACGACCTTGATGCTCCGATCTGCAAGAAAACTGGTCATGCAATTGCACAATTTCTCGGGAAGCCCATGGGAAGGCAGCTTCGACAAAAGCGCTTTGTGCCAAACCCGATCGAAGGCTTTCGCTATGTCCAAACTAACAGCTAACGCCTCCCTCTTGGACTCCACTGCCTCCGCCCATCTATGAGTTAGGTAACCTAGAAGATCAGCAGCTGATCGACCTCGACGGAAATCGTTCTGGCGGTCACTAATCAGCTGGTGATCCTCAAGGTTTTTATTTTCATAGGATAAGGGTGACAAACGAGCACACAGTCCACCTGATGTGGTTGCTGCGGCCCATAGAAGTCTACATCTATCCTCTATTATAAATCAAAATGTAGATGCGTTGTCGTGAGGACTAAGATGGAAAAAAAGGGCCTCCGGCTACCTGCACTCACCAAGCGAAATGCAGAGGTAAACCTCTACTTCACGCTGGTTTTCTGTGAGGTCGTGGTACTACCCCGGTTCGAGCCGGCCCCTCCGTACGACAGCAAAAGCTGCCGCGTGGCTCTACCACTGTTAATAACCGGTACCGGATGAGCTGGCAGTTAATGATAATATCCTTTACTTTGGAGAACAATGATGTGATAGCGATAGGCTTGTAGTTGGACGAATCTGAGCGGTCGCCATTTTTAGGTATCCGGTGCACCAAAGCTGTCTTTCATGAGTTCGGTACTATGCCTAGGGAGTAGGAGTACCGGAAAAAACGCGTTAAAATCGGTGCCAACTCCGGAGCACACGTCTTCAGTACAATAGGTGTGACTCCATCAGGCCCCCTCGACTTGTTGACGTCCAAGGAGAGAAGTGCTTTACGCATCAAGCGCTGTGTAAACAGCACTTCGTGCATGGAGTACTCACACCGTGGGATGGTCGTTGGTATGCTCCCCCGTCATCTAGAGTCGAGTTGAAAGCAAAAGGAGAGCCTAGCAGATCGCCTTTCTCCTTTACGTCATGGGCCAGTGAGTCGTCCACCCTGTGCAGAGATGGCAGAGATGGCTGACAGAAGTTCCCTTGGACAGCCTTGGCGAGAGACCAGAATGCACGTGTTTTCGAAGGGAGGCGAACTAGTTGCCCGCCAATTCTGCCGATGTGCTCTAACTCTGCCTTGGCAATGACAATTTTGAAGGACTCGAGGCGGAATTATACTTTTTCTTAAGAGCGCTGGTGTTTACATCCCGGGACGTTGATGTCAGCCCAGACGTCAGCCCAGGCCCGGTAGCACTCCTGCTTATAGCGTGATGCAATTTTACAGGAGTGACCAAACCATGGCTGAGTTCTGCCTCCGATAGGCACAGATTATGTAATACATCATTCAATTCGCTGAAGTACCATATCAGTATTTAATTGTTTTCCAAAATGGTTACTTGTTCTGTGAGTGACTGTGGTGTCAATAATAGAAATAATCCTGGTAGATGCACATTTCACGGATAAATTTTCAAGACGTCTTTAATGTTATGATGCGTTTATTTTGGTTAAAATTTACGTTATATCCTTCTTCAAATATAGAATGTTTTCAATTATTTTGTTAATTTTGATATTATGCAAAGAAAAATTTGGTAAATACATTTTTATACAAAATATTTTACATGTACACTAGGAGTTGACTCAGCTATATTAAAATTAATGTCGATATTTATCTTGAATGTTTATATTGCATGGATAGACTTGCACACATAACAAGACAATAAATCCTCGGTTTGCATTCTATAAACGTAATTTTATTTTGCCTTTTGTCAAACAGATTCCCTCCGGATTCCATAATTAGAAAAAATGGTTAATGTTAATTGGACGGGTTGAATGGAATCCAAAGACAAACTCAACAATTTGCAGCAAACATTTATTTGAGAAGCATAAAAGAAAAAGTAGAATAAAGCGATTTTATTAAAAGGAGCTATTTCTACATTACTTGTACTAGTAAGTATAATCTATACAAATAAATAAAATTGAAGTGTCTGTTTGTAATGTTAAAATAACAGCTTTTTACTAAACGCATATGAAAGTATATACGATACCAATAACAAAAAAACAATTTTTAAAATTTTTGTCTGTCTGTCTGTTTGTTCCGGCTAATCTCCGAAACGGCTGAACCGATTTTGACAGGACTTTCACTGGGAGATAGCTAATGTTATAAGGAGTATCTTAGGATACTTTTATTTTAGAAAAATTATTAGGGTTCCGCGCAAAAAATTAAAACCCATGAAATCGTAGTTAGTAGTAATTCCACTCGGGCGAAGTCGCGAGGAACAGCTAGTATTGTTATAATAAAAGACTTCAAAAATTTAACTTTCAAAACTTTAGATAAAAATAGTGACAGATCTTACACATTATAAAACTATAGTACATAATAAAAAACCTTAAGATTATCCTATTTAAGCCATTATGAACGCAACTAGGTACCTATTTATAAACCAAAAAATGTATGACCTTACTTCACCACACTCACCTCACGACACAAGAGCGACACGCGGAGCTTCGGTTTATATTACCAAGTCTCAATGATAAAACTTTTAGCGTAGTTAGGTAAAATTTATTTAGTAATGCTCTTGAAGCGCCACTAGACGCCCGCGTATAAGACGCGCGGTGTGCCAGGATAGTATAAATTCCATAGTTTTTGATACTCACAACGCTCGCTGCCCGAATCATGCTTGATGGCCAACGACATTGTGCCGAGGGCTTAAATAGCGTGGTTCATCGCCTACAGCGTTAGTCGTAGAGAAGAGGAACTCGTGGTTAAGTAATAGTTGCGTAGATCAATAGATCACCGAGGATAAGTTGTACTTGCCGCGTTCAGTCCATGAATGAATGACCATTTTCTTAACATACCGAAATTGAGGGAATAGAGTGTGTATCTCTATCCTCAGACACTCGGGGTACTTTGCTCTGTTAAGATTATTATGTTTTTAAAATGCAGCTAAAACTCGATTCTAAAAAGTCGATTATTTTTAGAAAAAGATCGATTCTTGACCAAAGTCAGGGCCGATTTTCCTATCCCTATCGTAGACAGTTAAATTGTAGGGATGCCAATTCTTTCCGAAAAAGATAGATTCTTAAATCGATTCTAATCGTAAGCTGATGTATCGACACAAAAAAACGAGATGTAAAAGATCGATTTCTAAAAAAATCGAGTTTTCCTTTAAGTTAGTATTTATAATGTAAATATAAATCCATTTTATGATGACTGCGCCCTCTTTTCCCAAAAGAGGGTCCCTTTCGATACGGCATAAGAAGCTTTAAACAGCTGGTTGCCAGTCCCCAAAGGCGGTTTTTATCACTTCGGCTCCCCGGTAGGCGTGAGTCCCCCATAGCCACGATGGATAGCCTATCGCGGTATGCGTAATCCATTTTCCGCCTCCCTACGTAAAGGGTAGCCCTATTCCAATTGCTTCGGGCGCAAAAAAAAAACAAGAAAGATACGTTATTCAACAAATACAAAAAGTCATAGACTACAAAAAGGAACTGGAGGCGAAGAAAACTAAGTAATTAAGCAACTGAGTAATTAAGCATACAGTCATCTTGCAAGTTTTTTGAGTAATTAATCCTTTAACCGGCAATGCCGTAATATTACACATTCATTCAATTAATTGTAAATAATTTTATGATTTTTACCAAAACCAAAAAAAAAATATAATGTGAAATATCGATTCCCTGGATTGATACAGCCATCTCGCAAGTTTTTTGAGTAATTAATCCTTTAACCGGCAACATCGTAATATTACACATAAAAGTTGCAGCCTATTTACGTCCCACTGCTGGGCACAGGCCTCCTCTCATTTCTGAGAGGGTTTTAGGGCAAGGAAATATCCGCCGCGCTGCCTCAATGCGTGTTGGCGAACTTCACATGTATTCGAAATAATTTTTTTCTTATTTCTCAGACATGCAGATTTCCTCACGATGTTTTCCTTCACCGCCAAGCACGTGGTAAATCAGCACTTAAAATTGCAATTAACAATTTCATTGGTGCTGGCGGGGATCGAACCCAGGTTGCTCGAGTACTGTGAAGCTTACAGCGAGCGCTAACCATCTGAGCTACCACGGCTCTCTGAGCTACGACGGCTATTTATCAATATTACACATACATTCAATTAATTGTAGATAATTTTATGATTTTTACCAAAACATAAAAAAAATCTTATGGTGATTTTCATGGGTGAATCCCGCACGGAACAAGTATTTGTATTGCCTACCAATAATTGTTCCGGGTCTGGATGTTTGTCTTTATGAAATTTATGTATGTAAACTACCCCCACGATACAGGAGAAAATCCTAGTGTGGTGGTAACGTTTTATAAAAAGAAATAAAAAAAATATCGATTCACTGGATCGATTCAGTACTACATATCCATTTAAAAAATCGATCTTATTGGCCTGAACAATCGATTCTTCGTTTAATCGATCATAGATCGACATCCCTATTAAATTGTCAGAGAACTTTAGGCAACTCTTTGACTTTAGGTTTTAGATTCGTGTCTAATAATCTAATAATTTCTTTATTTCAAAGCTGAACAAATGTATTTCAATAAACTATAATTTAAAAATCAAAACGAACAAGTTACAATGATTAAAGCTATACTAGTTTTTAACAATCATGGAAAACCACGATTGTCAAAGTTTTATCAATATTTCGTAAGTATTTCATTTCTAATATTAAATACTTAGTATATTTTCTCCGTTCATTTAGTACTTTGTAACTGTTATTTATTTTATAATACAAATAATATAAATAGATTGGTATTCATTCTTGATAAGGCCTTAGTAACAGTGAACTTTATAATACTGTTGATATCTTGATGTGTATTTGTATTGTTTTTACAATTTTATCTATTTCAGAATGAAGATATGCAACAGCAAATAATCAAAGAAACTTTCCAGTTGGTATCCAAAAGAGACGATAATGTCTGCAACTTTCTTGAAGGTGGAAGGTATGTGGTTTAACAATGCTTTCCCCCTATTCACAACTCTATAGAAGGATATTACGAGATAGAGTCATGCTGCAGCTATATTACTGTTTTAGTTGTGGCACGAATGGGTCGGCCCGACTGGGGAAGGACTATGACAAAATACCAGCGTCAAATAGCAGCTTAATGCTGCTGTGTGTTGTTGTCATATGGTGAGTGTAGAGAACCGGAGACCCTTTTTACTGAAAAGGAGGCATTCCATCTTAGTCCTCACGGCTGATAATGCATCTGCATTTTTGTTCGTAATCAAGGATAGATGTAGATGTCTGTGAGCCACAGCAACCACTTACCAACAGGTGGGCTGTATGCTCTTTTGTCACAAAAAGGTTTTGTGAAAAAAAGGGACAAGTATTTTTGTGGCTTACATATTTAACCTTTAAGTACCAACATGCATTTTTTGTAACGTTAGTACCGACGTGAGGCCTGAGAGGCTGTGTATATTATGTAGTGTTTTTTAAAGAAAGTGATGATTAAAATATTCATCTTTGCATTATGATGAAAAATAAGGGGTTTGAAGTAAAAATAAGTATAAAAAGAGATTCAACTTTACTAAATTGTTAAATATTATATTTGGCTTGAATTTTGGGGAAAAATCCGACTATTAGTTATTAAAAATCAAATCACAAAGAATAATCTTCTCAGAATAACAAGAAATAGCATTTCTTACTTATGACTTGTATAACTTTTATAAAAAAATATTAGGAACCTTCTGGGAAAAAAAATTACCACAGTTCAACTACACCTTGAAATCTAAGCACAGTCAGCGCACACTTGTTTCGCGCACTGTAAACAAACGTGTTTTTTGCATGAATAGCATCTATATATCACTTTTCTTTTCAGTTTAGATTGACACAAGAGACAACTCTTTTGTGTCTTGACTTCCTCAGCTTCATCTTCAGATGTATCTGGCTTATCAGAATCAAGTACTCTTGCCAAAGTCATCCTTAGTTTATGGGGTTCCGATCTCTTTGATTGCTGTAAATCTATTGCAGAACTATTTCTTTTACAACTTGAAGTCTCTAGTATATTCATAATACACAATATCTGTAAAAATAACAGTTTACCCCGTTTATCTCGGCTTCGCGTGGGTGATTTCTACATCTCGACAACAGCACCACCTACTGGGTCAGTTGTGAATCTAAACCATTATCGAATCATTTGCAAACATAATATTTCATCAAAATCCATCCAGTTTATGGGGAGTTGAGTCACATGGACAGAACAAAGTCACAGTCAAAACTCATAACCGGTCAAAACCACTTTTGACTGCAAAAATCAAAGGCAAGAATGGTTTTGACCGATGCCCTTGGTCAAAAACAGTTTTGACTGTTTTTTGTGGTCAAAAGTGGTTTTAACCAACATTTTTAGTCAAAAGTTGTGTTGTATGATTTAAAGATCAGACTATCCATCAAAACTCGTAATATCAGTAACAGCAGGTTAAGGTGCTAATATACCCGACTTTAGGGTGGCCCTGGGCCACCCTAAAGTCGGGTATATTATAATGATAAAAAATATAACATTGAAGAAATTGAACTTTTTCATTTCAAAAATTCAAAAAGTATAAGTCAAAAAATCAAAATCACTATTACCCATTATTTTTGCAGTTAAAAGTGGATTTGAACAATGGCCTTTGTCTAAATTACTTTTGCCTGATTTTTACAGAAACAGAAACAGAAACTTTTTTATTCAATATAGATTATAAATAATACTTATTGAAAGTCACTCTTTTGTATAATTACCACTGGTTCGAAAAAAAACCTCTGTCCTGGGAAGAACCAGCAAGAAACCCAGTGGGACTTTTTTTTTAAATAACAGCTTACTATTATGTATGTTACAAAAATTAACAACACAACAAATTAGAAATAGCTTGATAGCGATCACCTCATTTCCAGGAGTTATTATCATCTATAAATTCTTTGATATTATAATAACCCTTTTTATACAAACTTAGTTTAATAAAGTTTTTGAACTTTGGGCAGGTCAAATTTTGTATATTTTCTGGAATTTTGTTGTAAAAGCGTATACATCGCCCCAAGAATGAATTACTGACTCGATGGAGTCGAGTAACTGGTGCTACTAGCTTGTGTCTGTTCCTAGTATTTACAGAATGAATATCACTTATTTGTGTAAAACTACCTTTATTTTTGTGTACATACATTACATTTTCATAAATGTATTGAGAGGCCAAAGTTAATATATTAATTTCCTTAAATTTTTGTCGCAGCGACTCTTTAGGCTTTAAATCATAAATTGCTCTTATGGCCCTCTTCTGTAAAACAAATATAATTTCAGTGTCAGCTGTGTGTCCCCATAGCAAAATACCATACGACATTATGCTATGGAAATGGCTAAATTAAACTAGTCTAGCTGTTTCAACACTAGTTAGAATTCTAATCTTTTTTACGGCATATGCTGCAGAACTACGTCTGCTTGCTAGTTTTGATATATGGGGGCTCCATTGACGCTTCGCGTCTAGTGTGATTCCAAGAATAATGGTGGTATCTATAAGACTCAGTTTCTCCCCATTTAAAATTACATTAGTATTTAATTGTTTGACATTTGGAGTCATGAATTTCATACATTTCGTTTTAGTGCCATTTAAATGCAAATTATTAACATTGAACCAATTTACTAATTTAGATATAGCATTATATACTTCGTCATATTTTAGCAATTGTCGACTTAATTTGAAAATTAAGTGTCATCTGCAAATAATACTATATCATGGTTATCTCCTACTATGTAAGGTAACTCATTAATGTATACAAGAAACAGAAAGGGGCCGAGAATTGAGCCTTGAGGCACGCCCATTTGTACCATCGACACGGAAGAACTCATACTGTTAATGACAATTTTTTGCGTTTTCTTACTTAAATATAAAATAATTAATTTAAGAGCATCACTTCTTACACCGTAGTGTTGAAGTTTCCTGATTAATGTTTCATGGTGAACACAATCGAAGGCTTTGGATAGGTCACAAAATATATCCAAAGCATCCTGTGAATTCTCCCATGCATTAAATATATATTTAACACCGGCATCAGTTGTCGAGCGACCCCTTGTGAAACCAAATTGATTTTTATGAAGTAAATTATTTATATTAAAGAAATTTAACATTTGATCAAGAATAATTTTTTCAAAAATCTTACTAAGTGTTGGTAGTACAGAAATTGGTCGAAATTTGGCGGGGTCTAATGTACTACCAGGTATTACTTTACTATACTTCATTAAATCAGGAAACACACACCAGATTCGATACTAGTATTAAAAATAATAGCTAAATGAGGCGCGATTGTATTATCTATTATAGACGCAATAACTTTAACGGAAATCCCCCACAGATCCGCAGTTTTCTTAACATCAATAGTTTTAAAATATTTTACAATATTTTTGGATGATACTTTATGAAATGTAAAATTCTTTGTACACGCATTTAGATTTTGTTTAAGTAATGATTCGGCGACGTCAGGAGAAGAATTCAGTGACTTAGTGGTTAATATCGGAATATCAGTAAAATATTTCTCAAAAACCATTGCAACGTCCTGATCTGATTCGGTTAATTTGTTATCAACACTTAACTGGTAGTTTGAATTGTGAGAGTTGATCTTACCAGTTTCGCTATTAATTATAGTCCATGTCATTTTAATTTTATTAGAAGCCGTCTTAATTTTGTTGCTCAAATGCAAAGACTTTGCTGTGGAGCACACTCTTTTAAATATTTTTGAATATTTTTTTACATATTCCCTAAATTCGACGCTATGGTTATATGACCTTTCATGGTAAAGATCATATAACCTATGTCTGCTCTTATGGACTCCTATTGTCGCCCATTCATTAAATGACTTCCGACTGTTGTACAGTCTAAAGTGGTTTTGCCCGATTATGAGTTTTGACTGTAACATATAAGCAAACCTATCTCCTTATTCGAAATTTTTGAACTTATTTTCTCAATAATATATTTTATTTTTAAATTGAATGTTTAGTAAAAAATAAAAATTGATGTGAAAACTAAAAAGAATAAAATAATTTCCACATTATAGCTTCTGAAGTTGGAGCTTCAATTCTTTGATTTACTATGTCTTAGTAGGATATTATCTTTTATTTTGTTTAAATTTTACACTTCTAAGTGAATTATGCTATACTACAAGCTCCACAACTAGAAATATAAAAACTGTTCATAATAACTTGTGTAATGTGTTATTAGGTAGAGGGTAGATTACATGTGATGCAGTTTATTAAAGGACAGGGTGGGGTCAAAAGTGTGTGAATTTTGCATGATGTATTTCTCCGATATAGGTATATAATATATGCCATCTTATTTCATGACATCCATAGGAGGAAATGTAAAGCACATAATTATTGTTATACTAATAAAGTTCATTTAAATTTGTGATGTGAATTTTTTTTTAAAATATACAAGTAATACAAATTATCATTACATCTGATAGAAATTTTAAATGGGACCATAGTGAAAGTATAATCTTTTGCAAAATCCAGTAATGTGGTAACTGATGTCAGTGATATTGTTTTAACCTCTTCCTTTTTTGAAGTTGGTTAGGTAAAGTGAATTGTAAAGTTACAGCCTATATGAGTCCGAATCCTGGACTCAGGTCTCCTTTCATTTCTGAAAGAGATTTAGGGCAAGAAATTGTCCGCCATACAGCCCCAATGCATGTAGGTGACATTCTTTAAAAATATTTTTTTAAGTTCTCCCTCATGTGGGAGAGAACTTAAAAACAAAAAACATAGTGAGGAAACTTGCATGTGCAAGTTTCCTCACTATGTTTTCCTTCACCACCAAACAGGTGATAAATTATTGCTGTATTATACCAGGTTTTTGTATAATTGTAACATCTTATACCGTGATTTTTGCAAGTAAAGATTTACAATTTAAAATTGCATTTAACAATTTCATATGTGCCAGATTGAACCTAGGTTGTTCGAGTACTGTGAAATTTAAATCGGGTGTTTAGCCCTTGAGCTACTATGGCTTGAATTTTGTTAAAGAGAGACCAATTTTTTTTTTCAGTCTAATTGGTGGCTCCGATTACAAGCTAATCTACAGGCACTATGCAACGCTCTACTTTGTCTTCTGTGTTGATTCTTCTGAGAGTGAGCTGGGTATACTAGATCTAATACAGGTACATATGTGTTAATATTTTAATGCAAATTATGTTGACCATAAAATATATTAGATTACTAGCTGACCCGGCACATGTTGTTTTGCCACATACATTAAAATCGCGATTAAAAATCAGGGGTTGATGGCAGAAGGGTGAAAATTTGAAGTTTTATGTATTTTTCAATACTAAATCATAATAAAATAAAAATTTTGGTAAAAAAAATTAAAAAAACATTTAGGGGTGGGTCACCATTATCATGTAGGGGTTTGAAAAATAGATGTTGGCTGATTCTCAGACGTACCCGATATGCACACAAAATTTCAGACAAATCGGTTGAGTCGTTTGAGGAGTTTGGTAACAAATACTGTGACACAAGAATTTGATATATTAGATTTTAGCATTTTTTTAATTTTCGTTAATTTCTTACAGCCCTTTACAAGTCCACTGCAGAACATAAGCCTCCCCTAAGGAAGAACGATGTAAAGTCAGCAACTGTGTTTAATATTGCTTATAAAATTGTCGACTTTTGGGTCTGATAGGTTTTTGTATGTTTTTTTTTTTACTTATTATACTTATAAGTCAGTGCTTGACTACAATCTCACCTGGTATGTGGTGATGAAGCCCTAGTTGGTAAATCGCATTGTCTTAGCATAACAAAATTTTATTTACCCTTTTTTGCTTTGAATACATCCAGATTGTAATCCGATGAAAAGACAGATGCATACAAATTATTCAACTCACTTGCTGTATGAATGACAAAGGCCGAGCAAATTGAATGTTTCTATATTGGTGCTACTGCTTCAAGCTGCATAGCTAATAGCTTTCGAGAATGCTCAGAAACTGTTTCCATAGCCTTTTTAAAAGAACACATAGTCCACCTAATGACAAACGCTCTCTGCCACAAATACCACCAACATCTATCCTAGACTAAGAATTGAAAAGCAGATAAATTGTATCTGAAAACTAGGAAGGAATGCCTTGTGGCCAGGGAATAGACTTGCCAGTTCTCCTTACTTACCATGCAAAACACAGCAGCATAAATGTGCTGTTTCACATTACATTACATGCCATGCATTATATTTATATGCTTTGTGACCGAGGTCCTTATCAAGTGGTGCAAAGCCATTTTTGTTGCAGCTATAACAAGCTGTAGTAGGGCTACCATGTTAAACACTATTATATTTATAATTAGACAAGATTATAATTATGTATACAATGTTATCAGCCTTTTTAATTAAATCCAAGCTGGACATAGATATTCCCAATAGTGCTGGAAAACATTATAATACTGATGTGACAAACTGACAAATGAACTTGCAGTTCACTTGATGGTAATTTGCTACTGTGGCCTAAGATGGGATATTTCACATCCTTATTACGTGGTAGAGCCATGCTGCAGCTATATTAATAGTATAGTTGTAGCACGAATGGGTCGGCAAGACCGGGGAAGGACCACGCTCTCACAGAATACCAGCGTAAAATAGCAGCTTAATGCTGTTGTATTTCGTATGGTGAGTGTAGAGAACCAGAGGCCCTTTTTACTGGAAAAGAGGCATTCTATCTTAGTCCTCACGGCTGACAACGCATCTGCATTTTAATTCGCAAACGAAGATAGATGTATATGTCTATGGGCCACAGTAACCACTTACCATCAGGTGGACTGTGTGCTCGTTTGTCACCCTTATTCTATAAAAAAATAAAAAAATACTGTAATTATACTACCTGTTTATACTCCAGAAGTTCAGTTTTGTAAGTGCAAGTACTGCTATTTGGAGGCAGAAATTGGTAAGATGAAACCTGCCCAAACATACTCCTAGACCGAAAAAGATTTCTACCACCTGGACACTTGAAGAGACACATTACAACATCCCATCATATACAATAAGAAAAGCAAAGTTACCGCCTATAATATAAGTCTCCAGTAGGGTGACTGAGCACAGACCTCTCAATTCCGAGGAGGTTTTATGACAAAGAAGTGACCACCTTGCTGTCCCATTATGGCTTGGCAGACTTCACATGTCCTAAAAATGTTTTTATTTTATTTCTCAGACATGCCGCTTTTCTTACGATGTTATTATTCATCACTGAACACATAATAAATCAAAACTTAGAACTGAAATTAACAATTTCACTGAGTTACAAAGCAACCAAACTTCAATCATAATTATTTAGATTGAAATCAAAAACTAGAACATACTCTTTATTTTTACATTGGTTATATAAAGCTACTTCTGTGTAATAACAAAACTTTTCCCACTCTCAGTTTTTGTTATGTCTATAGTAATATGTTATTATAATTATGAAATAATCATTTTACAGGTGTTTGTAGAAACCCTTGATAAGTGTTTTGAGAATGTCTGCGAATTGGATCTGATTTTCCATGCGGATGCTGCACACCAAGTGCTAGATGAGCTTGTGATGGGTGGGATGGTACTGCAGACAAATATGGCAGATATACTCTGCCGACTGCAGGAGCAGAACAAAATGCAGAAAACTGAGGTTGGTTTAAAAAAGTAAAGTATACATATGTATATATATAAATAATACATAAATAGGGCTTAACCCCTATTTTATATGTGTACTTTATGTATGAAATTGCCATTTTAATGGAGTGGACACTTGAATTAAAATTAAACCAACATGATCCGAGATTCGTGATTAAAATATTTTACTTAAAAACTATACAATTATAAATTAAAATTGTTTGGATATTCTATTGTTTGACTCAATTGTTTTTACATTTATTTATTTATTCATTTAACAATTTATTTACACACGAAGTAATGTTACAGTGTAAAAATAAAAAGATATTTTGTACAATGTATGGAGACATCAAAATTTTTTTCCGAATACAAGTTGCGACGTGGTTCCAAAGCAACAGAGACAGTTCGCAATATCAATCCTGCATTTGGAGAGAATACGAATAACGAACGCACTGTGCGTTTTTCTTTTAATCGCTTTCGTAGTTGCGATTCTACTTAAAGAACGAACCACAAGGAAGACCAGACACTAATGTAAATAACGATGAGTTAAAAGTAATGGTGGAATTCGATCCATATCAAAACAACCAAGGATTAGCACGGGTTGACGATAGTTTACCCACAATAGTTAAAATAAACAATTGCACCAATTTGTTAAAATAAACTAAACTCTAGAAATGTGTGAGAATTTAACTGTGTGTAAAGGAGTACACATAAAATTTATCTTGTTTTGATGAGTAAATACAGAAATGAATGGATATGGACAGAATTGTGACGTGTGATGTAAAATTGGATTCTCCATGATAATCGCAAAATTGGATTCTATATGATTATCGCAAGCGAAAATTGCATTGGCTAAACCTAGATCAAATACTAGAACAATGCCTAATGAAGCTCACCCATAGAAAAGTAATGGTAACTGTTCGGTGGCCACATCATTGGGTAATTCTTTAAAGCTTTGGAATCCGGTAACTGCATATGTCTATTGTGAAGAAAAGAAAATAAGGTGCCTAAAACAAAGAAGCCTTAACCATAACTTACATCTATTCTACATCAACTCCATCTGTATTATTTCAATTCTCTATCAGTATCAATTTGAAAGGCATGTTGTTATTATAGATGTTCTCAAAATAGAGGTTAAAGGTACATAATTGTACATAATATGACATATAATATATTATTTAGAAAAGGGTTTATTACGATTTTATTTTTAATATTTTTTTAAATGCTGCCGAAATAAAATAATAAAAACAAAATAGTGTCTAATACTGCCCTCTTTTGTGCCCTTGAGTGTAAAATAATGTATATAATATATTCCATATACTTATTACAGTTTTATAACTCTTTGCTTTAATGTTATTCGCCATATTTTGTATCTCTTATTGTTTAAAAATGCTGTTGAGTTTCCAAATTAAAAAATAAAGGACAAGCCTGTAGTTAAAAATCATACGTCATCTTCCGTACTCGCCAAACCTATCCCCAGTGGTTTTGCATTTTTCCGCAACAATTTCCTGCATAAACTATGTAGAATCCACATCCCCAGAGTTCTATTAAGGCGTAAACTATCTTCCTTCGAGGTAGAATAATTGTAAATATATTCAGGGTAAATACTTCGATAAAATAAATATATTTTTTCTTAAAATAAAAGGTGTTTGAATTTTGTAATATAAAATGGCAATTTCATACTTTAACCCATAGTGCACACGTTCATACAGTTTATTACACGATCGCAAGCACGCTCGACCGCATGCTGCACGCAAGTAAGTACGCACGCACACATGCACGTACACATGTGCGTGCGCCCGCACACATGCACGTGCGCCCCTACACATGCACGTGCGCCCGCACACATGCACGTACGCACGCACACATGCACGTGCGCACACAAACGCGAACACACACACACACACACACACACACACACACACACATTTGATTGTGCTTAAGTGTTTGGTGTGAATGTATTAATTTTATTATTCCTATTTAGTTTGGCAAATACTAATGTAAGTGCTATGGAAGAGTGGAGTCCCCCAATAAAAATTACTCATCACCCGCTATATGATCATTTACTGAGTCGAGTTTTGATTTGACTATTCAGAAGATAAAGAATATTAAATTTCTATAAATATATTGCGATGCTAAAGTTCTTTAAACTTTTGTTATGGCCCTCTTTTCCCAATAGCAAAATCCCATAACCGTTACGTTATGAAAATAACTGAAATAAACCAATCAAGCTTTTCGAATATTGGTGAGACTTCTAACCCTTCTTACAGCATATGCTGGAAAACGAAGTTTGCCTGTTAATTTAAATAAATGGCTCAGTAAAGCATCGCTTCAATAATAATTCCAAGAAAAATAGTGAAAACCTCATGGCTAACTTCCTCTCCATTTAAGCACACATTAGCACTCAAATGTTTAACATCATTTTATTATTGTTGTTTGAAAATTAATAAGGTATCAGCAAATAATACTATATCATGGTTGTCCCTTACAAGATTAAGTAAGACGTTAATATAGATTTGGAACAGGAATGAGCGAAGAATGGGGCCCTGAGGAACACCCATTAAAGCTACCGATCCATTCAATCGGAGGAACTATTACCATTGATAACGACTCTTTTAAGTTCTGTTAATTAAATATGAAATAATAAGTGAAAGTGTAATACTTTTAAAACATAATGTTGTAGTGAATAAAGTCTCTTGATGAACACAGTCGAAGGCCATGAAAAGTACACGAGTTATTAAAAGTATATTTAATAAGCACAACACCGACGTTAGTCTTCGAGTGACTCCTTGTTAAACCAAATAAATTTTTATGGAGTGATTTATCTGTAGTAAAAAACATTAACGTTATTTTGATCAAAAAATGAATGATATGGATTAAAGGAACCTTAAAATAATATGTCCCTCTAAAATAGACGTGTGAAACTTGTTCTGAGTCGTTTCAAATATGCAGATAACTTAAACTTGAGCTGCTAAACTAAGGCTCAATGTCAATAATGCAGTTCGAGGCTCATAAACCTTCAAAGACTACTAGTAATATATAGCATATCTCAGAGATTATGATTGTGAAAGGAATATTCTTTAAATCATATGCTGTCTTAGAAATTAATTGTGTTACCTAAAATATCAAGTAATGTATTGTTAATACACTTTTAGTGATTGAATAAAACTATTTTTACGGATTTTATCGCGTTTAATTAACTTATTTTATATTCCCGACGTTTCGGTTGCTTTCCAGCAACCGTGGTCACGGGGGACTGAGGTGATTGACGTCCCGATGTCAAAGTTAACCCGGAGTACCTTCAGCTTTTTAATTATTAATTTTGGTCCGATCTACGCAGAATGAACTAATTGTGTCTTGAAGTCTTCCAGTGGTATGCTTGGGTTTAGTTTTAATTTTATGAATTACAGGATCCCAAGCAGGTGGTAGTACCCAGCCTCCCTCTCTATTGAGGTTAGGATGTTTTTTAATTTCAATAGCCTCACGTATCATCCTTGGCAGGAATCGATACGCGATAAAATCCGTAAAAATAGTTTTATTCAATGTGTAGTGTTCGCGTAAATATAAGAAATCATTATACACTTTTAGTGTTAGTATTACTATTACTATTAGTACGTGGTAGAGCCATGCTGCAGCTATAAAGTAATAATAAAGTTTATTCTTTTCTCTCACAAATTTAGTAATTAACATAAACATACAACTTAATATTAATATCAATTTGTGAGCGACTGGTGTCCGTACTAGGATTCCCTGTATGACAGATCACCAGCCCCCACCTACAGACCAATCTATAATAATCTAGGTAATATTAGGTGTATGACAAACAATAAATATACGAAAAGCAAATAAAAGTGTGTGTGTGTGTGTGTGTGTGTGTGTGTGTGGGTGTGTGCGTGTGCGTGCGTGCGTGCGTGCGTGCTTGAGTGCGTGTGCGTGCGTGCGTGCGTGTGTGTGCGTGCGTGCGTGTGTGTGTGGGTGCGTTCGTGCGAGCTTGTGTGTGTGTGTGTGCGCGCGCCGGGCGCGCGCGTTCGTGTGTGTGTGTGTGTGTGGCATTTGGGATTTATTTCATGATATTAAGTAATTCCTCAGTCGTTTCATAATCTTGACTTAATAGCCAGGCACCCCGACCCCTGCTTTCGGAGTGAGGCTCCTCGAGCTAGGGGGGGGGGAGCTCGATGCGATTTCAAGGGCTCCTAAGAAGGAGGTACGAACCTCGGCTTGAATCGCTATCGCAATTTTGTTAACGAGTCGCAAAGGTTAGAAACGCCCCGTATCACGGGTGTTAAACCTCGTGTACGGAGTGTGTCTGTGACGTCGCATTCGCTGGCGATTGCGGTGTGCCCTAGTGTTCTGTACTAGAGTAGTGTCTGAGTATGTGTAAGTGTTTATATTTACTAAACTAGTTCCCTCACCTGTGGAGGATCGTAATAAGTCAGAGAATGTTGTTTCATAATACTGTGTAAAATAAATAATTGGCGGACTGTGAGAACTTTACAGTTTTGGTATAGCTCTTTAGTGGGATAGAGAAATGGAAGAGAGTGACTCGTGCTATATTTCTGGTATAGTTGTAACACGAATGGGTTGGCTCGACCGGGGAAGGACCACGCTCTCACAGAATACCAGCGTAAAATAGCAGCTTAATGCTGCTGTGTTTCGTATGGTGAGTGTAGAGAACTGGAGACCCTTTTTACTGGGAAAGAGGCATTCCATCTTAGTCCTCTCGGGTGACAACGCATCTGCATTTTGATTCGCAAACGAGGATAAATGTAGATGTCTATGGGCCAGCAACCACTTACCATCTGGATATACCATCTGGGTGGACTGCGTGGTCGTTTGTCACCCTATCCTATATAAAAAAACATATTATGCAATTTATCTTTACCTTATCCGGCTCGAAGGACTAATGAATATAATGTATTTAATGATATCATTTTATACTTTTCCAGGCAGGCATCTCAGCAGCTCCCGCTCGTGCTGTCTCTGCGGTGAAAAGCATGAACTTGCCACAGCAGTTGCGTGACATGAAGCTGCCCGACCTCCCACAAGCGATTAAGGTCATTAAAACATAACTCGATCTACATAGTGATTTCTTATATTTACTCGAACACTACACACTTAAATAAAACTAGTTTTTCTGATTTTATCGCGATAATGCTCTAGTTATTTTTTTAAAAAAACGTTACCCCCACACTAGCATTTTCTCCTGTGTCGTGGAGGCAGTTTACAAACATAAATTGCACAAGGACAAACATCCAGACCCGGAAAAATTATTTGTAGGCCACACAAATACTTGTTCCGTGCGGGATAAAACCAGTATAACTAGTTTTATTTAAATAACTCGATCTGTTGTTCCTTCTAGTATATTTAAACAATTTTTTTTAACATATATGGTTTTAATTTGATTCAAAAATATGTTTTTTTTTTTAATATATTTTGGAAAATTTCACTACCAGTATTATATACATATAGACTCGTGATGGCAGGGTAAGAGATTCTATAACCCCCTTTTTCTGTGGGGGCCGTAAGAGACGACTATGGGAAAGGTCAAAAAGATCTCATGGCTTCCTATCGGAATACTGGCACTACCTACGCGAGCAATCGGGAATTTGGGACTATTGCTATCTCGCTCGCTCTAACAATATAACCCGTGGATAAGCCGCCACCGCGCTGCCGTCGTCGCCGCGTCGCCGGCCGCGGCGTTTCCTCAAGAAAACGAATTTAACCGAGATCAGCACGAACATTACCGACCGCTGTTACCGACGCATGCACGGCGCACCGATAAGCGCACTTAAGAGCGCGCGCGCGAGATTCAAATTACTTTTCGAACATATTTTTTTTGGTTTTATTCTGGAATATAATTCAATATTTTTCGAGAACGTACGAATACGATTACGAATGTACGAGAGTATTATTTTTGTTCCGCTTTCGGCCCGTGGGCCGCGGTCTGTGCATCAACGATTTAAACAATGACACAAGAGCAGCAATCCGCCGCCGGTCAAGTTCCCGCTAAAACTCCCATATAATACCAGCTCACGAGGTGACGTTGTGCTGACCATTCCGACGACCCTTAAATATAGAATAACGGTGGCAAACGAGCACATAATCCACCTGATGGTAAATGGATGCTATGGCTCATAGACATCTACATCTTTCCTGTATTAAAAATCAAAATTCAGATGCGTTGTCACCTCTGAGGACTAAAATTTATATTTTACATGGTAGAGCCATCCTGCAGCTATGTTATGGTTGTAGCATGAATGGGTTGGCTCGACCGGGGAAGGGCCACGCTCTCAGAATACCAGCGTAAAATAACGCTGCTGTGTTTCGTATGGTGAGTGTCGAGAACTGGAGACCCGTTTTACTGGAAACGAGGCATTCCAATTTCGCGAAATTCCACCCGCTAGGGGTTGCGGGGGCTTTAATTAAAAACAATTCACATTTTCAAAGTGTAGTTCATAAAGGTATAAAACATGGCTAGAATATTCTCTTTGGCATGTTAAAAATCAAGCTCGCTAAAACTCGAAAACGGCTGGATCGATTTTGATGAAAATTTTTGGTGTGTTTAAGTGTGTCCCTGAGTGATCTAAATTCTAAACGATTCACATTTGTACCCGGTAGGTGGCGCTGTTGTCGAGATCCAGAAATCACCCGTGCGTAGTCGGGGCGGATCACTAGTAGTTAAATAAAGCATAATATAGTCTTTGTTAGAGTAAATGAATTTTATTTGAGTTAGAGTCAATGAGTATTTGTGAAACGTTAATAGGTGATAGAGCTTATTGCTCTGTGACACTCAAAAATGAGAGGTCTGTTTCCACCTGTGGGACGTATATAGACTGTAAGCTTACTTTTTATTTTATACTTTCCCAGGACCTGAAGTTCTGACCGATACAGCAGGGCGCCTATCCCGCTTCGCCCGCCGCACTAGCCACCAATATCTTCAGCACCATCTACCCGCAGAACGAGAAGTACCACAATATACAACGTCCAACGGACAATTTTTCCAACAAATTCTTCGGATCAGAAGCACTCAGCACTCGCTTCGCTGAACCGTTCTCCGAGAACTACCAGCAAACTGAAGGCATCAATTTCCCCAACTACGAAACCCACAAGTCTGAAGGATATCAGGACCTCAGCGGAACGACAGTGGAGTGTGATTATAGTGAAGTTAAAAAGAGAAAGAAAAAGAAGAGACAGGGGAAATAATGGAATCAATATTAAATTGTTTTAATGTTAGTTATGATAATTTGCTTCACCAATCCCATACAATGGTTATATGACAACATAGCCAATTTTAATTAACTTAGTGGAACGGATTAGCCTTAAGAGAATATCCTACTTGGAATACAATTGCATTCCCCTCTGCTTTCTTTCTGGACAATGACACTAGAGCAAATATTTTTATGATTCCGTCACGTGTGAAGTGGGTAAAAATACTGATTAGGATGAGAAATGGATGTATTCTTTCACACACACATCAAGTATACAATTACGTCGTCCAAAAACGTTAAGCGTCATCAGTGAGGTTCTTAATAATCGCAGATGTCGTAGGTTGATTGCTCGCAGTCGCTTCCCGAAGTAAAGTTCACTCTCCGATCGCCGGCACACGCTTTTATACTCGATAAGAACAAGAATTCCACTCATAACGGTAGCATTATGTCCAAAGGAGAAAATGCTTTATATACGTAGAAATAAGGTTGCGTCTTACTTGCATCAATAGTTTGGGCGATATCTATTTTATGCCAATACATTTTATTACTGGACAGAGGCCATTGACACTCATTGGGAACATTATCGTGCAACGTGATGCAATACGCAACTGGCTGTCGGAACAATACAATCTATATCAGGGATTCCCAAACTATTGTGGGCAAGAGACCCCTTTTGCAAAATGAACTGATACCTCAGACCCCCATAGCCAAATTACTTTAAAATTTTTTTCCTATTGATACAAAATACTTACCAATTTAAAAAATGCGGTTTGTTAATTGACTAAACTTGACATAATGTTTTCATCAAAATTTAACAAAATAAATAGAAATAAAATTCAGTAAATATAAAGTGTAATTAAAAAAATATTTGTAAATAATTTTTTTAATTACACTTTATATTTACTGAATATACTTTAGATTACTGAATATATTTTAGATATTGAAGTAGTTAATAAAATTAATGTGGCCGATTTTAAAACTTCGTCAACCCCCAAAATTAGTTTTCGTTTATGTCGACCCCTGGGAAACCCATCCCGCCCCCAAGGGGTCCATATATTGTGCGCTTGAACGCACACGGTACAGAATACTTAATAATAAACAATATTTGAAGGATGTATAACACATCAGCTGCTTACGCTACGCAAAGTGCGACAAATCAGCATAAATGTCAAACTAATATCAGTTAACGGATCGTGTTTCGTTGATTACATTAGTTTGGATCAGAATTGAATTCTTGTTGTTTATTTCTTCTTATTTGTTAATCGTTTTATTGTCGTTTTGTAACAAAAAAAAAAAGCAGAAGCAGTCATAACGACTGCCGAGAGAAGTGAAAACTCAATAATATATGAGTATACATATACACAGGCCGCTATACTACCTCGACATGCTCGTGACGTTTGCAATATGTCATAAGTATGTCGAGGTCATCGGTGACGTGAACCCATAAGTTTTTCCCCTACCAAAATAAGCTTAACGCGGCTAGAGAAGTTTTCACTTTAAAAACTATATCCTTGAGAAAAAAGAATCATTAATATAAGAAAAGTAATACGTAAGTTTCAAAATCCTTTCGATTATTGCAGTTTCGCCGAATCTGGAAGTTGATATTGATTTTAAGTAGAATTCTTTATGAACACGAGCATATAGTACATAAATCAGTTTTGTAGGAGGAAACGTAGGAATACGATATGATCGTTTTGCCAATTTTTCCGAGGTAGAATAAGTCTAAGCTGCAGATGTCTTCCTCTAGCTCCTGGTTGTCCAGCTCGATCGTTTGGGCGATATTTTTTTTTATAGGATAAGGGTGACAAACGAGTACACAGTCCACCTATCCTCTATTACAAATCAAAATGTAGATGCGTTGTCACCCGTGAGGACTAAGATGGAATGCCTCATTTCCAGTAAAAAGGGCCTCCGGCCACTTGCACTCATCAAGCGAAACGCAGAGGTAAACCTCTACTTCACGCTGGTTTTCTGTGAGGTCGTGGTACCACACGCGGTTCGAGCCGGCCCATCCGTGCGACAGCAAAAGCTGCCGCGTGGCTCTACCACTGTTTAAAATATGCGACAACAATAGATTTGCCAACAATCTGCCTTGCCTAATCTGCTCTTTTATAAAAGGCCGGCAACGCATCTGCAATTCCGCTGGTGCTGCAGTTGTTCATGGGCGGCGGTAGTCATTTACTCGTACCATCAGGTTAGCCGCATGCTCGTTTGACCCCTTTTATATATAAATAAAAACCAATTCTTTAAATCTTTCCGTTAGATATCCTCTTAAATTTCGTGCATATAATTTGACATGAATGCAACTTAAAGATAGCCCATACAGCTCTAAAATCAATATGTGATTGGTATTCAAATATCAAACCTTAATAAGATTTTTAGATATTTATAACGCGGTAAGGTATTTTCGCTCTAGAAATTGCGTGGGTTGCTATGTGGTCATATAGCTTTGAAGTAGATCTATGTATACCCTTCAACCTTCAGCTTCTGTCTAGTGACAGTAAAAGCGTATTCGATACGGCGAGGTGATTTAGGGAATTTGGTTGCTTGGTTGTTCTTTGTCTACATTATTTGAAGATTTTAAAGATACCTTATTGGCATAATGCTTATTAGTGATTTTTAATTCGCTGTCTGGTTTAATCCTAAGCTTCAAGGCAACTGAAATACATCTTTGATAGTCCCCACAGAACAAGGGATAACTTAACTTACACAACTGTATGGCAGCATATTTACAACATCATCTCAACAACACGCGTGCGTTTAAAGTCAGCGGGAATAGCTAAGTTGAGTTTTTACAATAATTAGAAGAATTTAATTAGTTTAATTTCTAAATGTAGCTGGTAAAAGAATAAAATAATTTCAACATATAAGCTTTGGTAGTCGATTCTATTACTTACTAGACTCTAGTCAGTTGCATAAGGTAACTATAACAGATAAGTTAAAACAAAAAGGATTATTTAAATAACAGAAAAAAAATTGGTTACAGGCATTTTATAATTTCATAAGCATAATGTGATCTGATTCACTTCCATGACTCAATTGATATTTGAAGAATTTGATGCAACAAGTTGCTATAAATATAAAGAAAAAATAGGATGATAAAAAATATTTAAAATTAAAAGAAACCTTATCATATAAATGTACTCATTAGAGATAGTTAACAGTTTTGTCACGTTTAGATGAATATATCGAGTACCGACTATCTTTCTCGAAAAAAATCCCGTGGAAAATAGACGAACTAAAATATAAGCTATTGAATTTGACATCAAATGTTAAATTTCACGAAGACTACTGCTGTATAAAAGATTTTTTATCGTAAATACGACTATTTGAAATCATGTCACAAACGAACTATAGAACTTAACTATTACGTATACTGTTTTATTATTTAAGTGTGTATAAAGGGTTAAAGTTACAGCTTATATTCATCCGAATGTTGGGCACAAACTTACTCTAATAGAGAAGTTGCATTTTTTTTGCCACAATGTTATATATAAAATATAGAATAATTACAGTATATTATTTTTTTACTAACAATTCCATTTTTTAGTACTTATTCATAAAAAATAGTTAAATTTTTGAATGAAAAAAAAACGACTAGTGATTGGTTGTGACGTCATTATATCCGTTCAGGCTGAGCCAGTTGCAATCATGCTATACTTTGTATTTTCTCTATTCGGATCACCATGCGTCATAACAAAACATATTTAGCCTGTATTATGCAATGATTTTTTTTTAATTTTGACAACGTAAACATGAGCGTTTTATTATTTCACCATGTGTTGGCGTTACTAAAACGATATAATGACGTCACTTGCGTTAGAATTTACATTTTAGAAAAACCATTTTTAATTGTAAAGTTGCATGAAAAATCAATTGTTAATTTTTTTTAATATATCCTAATAATTTATAGTAACCTATCAAAACAAAAAAAAAAAAACCGAAACCAAAACTTCTCTATTGCTGAGAGGGGATCAAAATAATTTTAATAATTAATTAGGAAGTACAATATAATATCCTCTATTTCACACCAAGAAAACAAATAGCGTAACAAGAAAAGTCGGTCTTATTGTCACACAGAAATATCTTCCAGACATCAGGCGAATGGATAACATACAGAGAACCCACGTTTAAAGTATACTTTATAGTTGAGAGTTTTAATTGTTATAAGTGATTCGATATTTAAAAAAAAATGTATATATTTTGCATAATTGGGCAATATGAAAACATTCCTTTAACACTCGAATTTAAAGTAAACGCATTTGGCAGTGGTGGGCGATTCTGCGTATCTTAATAAAAGATAATTACGTTTTTTGTTCGTGAGGTATAAGAAACTTTCATAATTATTATGTGTTATTTATCATTATTGTCATCATCGCCTTGCGCCAGTCAACTGCTGGACATACCTCACTCAAGGTTCCTTAGTTCAGCCCGATCGTCTTTCCGCATCCGATTCCTGATAGTAATACTGTGCCAACTTACAACAACATAACTTAAATTTAAAAACTCCCGAAACAAAAAGAGCTCATGATCTTCTAACGGCTCCTTGAGACACTTTCAAACGAAAAAAAAACCAATCGAAATCGGTTCATTCACTCCTGAGCCACTATGATGCCACACAGATACACACTACAAACATATAACACCCCTCCGTTTTCATCGGGGGTAAAAAATGTGTTGGCGCACAGCACTGGACCTGGAAATGCGAAAGGTGTTAAGGTGCTTAGTTGCCCGCAGAATATAGAGAAGTGTTATTGAACACTGTGGTATTACAAGAATCTTATTTTATATAATTTTTATAAAGTGCAACTCTGTGAAGTGTAAAAGGACTGACAGTGATTGGTAATCTTTCTTTACCACGTTTTATTTTACTTTTTTATAGTATGAGTGTGAGAAACGAGCACACAGTCCACCTGATGGTAAGTGGTTGTTGTGGTCCATAGACATCAACATCTATCCACGTTTGCGAATCAAAATGCAGATGCGTTGTCACCC